GAGAGGGAGCTGGGCTCTCCCCGGGAGCGCCCCCCGCCTGGGACCCGCGCTGCCCAACACGAAACCAACTTTACTGTCTGGCACCTTTTCTCCCCTCTGGAAAAGGGGACCTGCCCTGCAACGCCCCCCGCCCCCCGGGCACAGAGTCAGGGCCAAGCTGCTACGGGAGACGTAAACACGCTCCCGAGCCTGAGCCAGAGCCCAGACAGCTCCTTTTTTTTATTACTAGGAGAACGATCGCCTCCCATTATTTTTGGAGAGCGAGAGGAGGAGGGAGGGAGGGAGCCTGAGCAAACTTGGGAGCAGCTGATCTCTAAGAAGCGAGAGCTAAAAAGTTGGTTTTCCTTTTTTTTTCTCCTCCTCTCTTCTTTTCTTTTTTCTTCCCTTCCCTTTTTTCTGTTCTTCTCTTTTCTCCTTCCCCTTCTTCTTTCCTTTTTCCGTCTCTCCTCTCCTTCCCTCTTCTCCCTCCCCCCGTGTCGAGGCTGGGGTAGCCCTCGGGGCCAGCCCTTCTCGGCGGAGCCGGAGCCGGAGCCGGCAGCGCTGACCCCCGCTTCCCTTGCAGGTCCCAGCCGGAGGAGACCATGTTCCCCAGGCTGTTCCAGCAGTGGAGTTTCGCCGTCTTCCTGCTCAGCTACTCCGTGCCTTGCTGCGGGAGATCGGTGGAGGGCATCAGCCGCCGGCAGTAAGTGTCTCCTTTGCTGGGAGTGGGGAGGGCAAGCGGGCTGCAGCTGCAGCACATGTGTCCTCAACTCTTCGCATGCTCCCAGCTCTCCAGCAGCAGAGCTACCCACCCGGGCTGGTGGCTTCAAAAGTTACCTGCACAAGGTATCTCACCAGGACTGTTTAAGAAGGGGGGAATGAAGGATAATGCATGGCTCTCTGACCCTGTAAGACACTGGGGTGTATGATTGCGTTTTGTCCTGAGAAGCCTCAGTGTTATGTAGAAGAGCAACACATAGGTGGTTCTCTAGTATCTTGCGGTATTTGTGTGTCTCTGATAAACTAATCTTGCATCCTGCTTTACTTGATATGTTTGCATTATGTACTGGAGCAGCAATTTAGGTGTACTGGCACAGAGCCAAGCTAGATAAAGGTCAATAAAGGGACTCACTAGTTAGATTTACAATTAAAAAGTACCTATAAAATGGGGGGAGGTGTGCTGTTGGACTGCTTTACACTAAGTTCTTCAATTGGAGTCGCTATTTAACTCAGAGACAGAAGCATTTTTATAAACAAATGACAACTAGATTTGGGATGTTATGCTCAGGAAAGATCTTCCTTCCTTTCCCTCTTCCAAAGCAATTGGTCTGGGTCATATCAGTGAATAGTAAGGGGAGTGCAGGAAAGAACCCCACAGAAATGACCTGAGATCAACAGCCTGTATATTCACTGTCTGTAGCAGTTTAGTTCACTATAAAATATTCTAGGATCAGCCCAGTGAAGGGGTCAAGGACAGCTGGTAGGACTTGATGTTTCTCCAAGTCCAAAAGAAACAGGCAGGTTGGAGAGAGAGTTTGGAAAGGTTATCAACTTGTTTAGAGGAAAGTTTCACAGACAGTACCTTGAATCAAGTTCAGGAGGGCTTCCTTGCAACTGCTCAAGTAATGTACATAAGGACAAGCTTTCTATATATCACTTCCTCCACCAATTAAAAAAAACCACCCCAAGTAAAATTACTTTAGACATGTCTGAACTTTGGCACCAAATCAAAATTATTATAAATCTCCTAAGGCAAATCATGTATAACATTGTAATGATGGTAACACTACTCTTCCCATTAACATCTAGCTGTTTCACACTACTGTGCAATATACACTTGGAACTATTTTTTAAATGATTACTATTAAACCATTTTGTTTTCTTCAGCTGTGAAAACAATCCAAGTTTGAGTTTATGTAAATAACAACAATATACTAAAAAAAAACCCTAAATCAGAATTAAATACAGTGTCTCCTTGGCTAAAAAATGGTGAATTGGAACAATGCCAATTTTTGTTTAAATTTCAAGATTTAGTAGAAAATGCCTGTTGCCTTGTTGAGCGGTGTGTCGTTTCAGCACTTGTTATGTGGCAAGATTAGATTTTTTTCTCTCCTTATCCCATCCTGGCAGCTAAATTGTAAAGTAGGTGCTAAATTGTCAAAAAGGGTTTCTTGATCCCCTCTATGCTATGGCATGTAAAATGTGCACAAGAAAACATTTAGCTGTCCCTCAGTGGCATTCATGTGGGTATAACACTAACACCACACATAAACATATATCCTGTTTTAATATCACCACAAGCTGTTTCTAGGCTTAATGGTTAATAACTTACTTAAGCATGGACATGACTTCAGCACAAATTTAAACCAGTAGTAGATTACAAATTGGAAATCACATTATTACTGTGCTTTTCACAATAATCAAAAAATGATCTAGGCTCTATTCTAAAGACCTTATTTAGGCAAGTCTCATAGAAGCGAGTGGGAAGTTTGCCCGTGTAAGGACTGCAGGGCCTATTATATGATATAAACGCTTTAGCTGTTCAAGAAATTTCTAGAAACCAAGTAATGCCTCAGAGTGAAATTAGATATTTTTATCTGCTTGCATCATCACATCTCCAAATCTGTTTCAAATACTTTTCCAGTTGATATTAACTAAGGGTCCAATCCTGAGCAGGACTGAGTGGCTTTGGATCTGAGTGGGACAGATTCAATGCCAACTGAAATCTTTCTACAAATTGAGATACTTCTGGTCAGCTCCAAGATGAATATTCAGTTAGGGTAATGATGCAGTTAAAAACTACCCAAGACAGAAAGCCAATGCTTTATATGCTACAGACAGACAAAAGAGTGAAAAGAAGGGAAGAAAGTAAAGGAAGCTTTCTAATAAGAATGGATGTAAAAAGAAATATGACTTCCAAAATACAGTATAACATTCACAAGTTCTGCATTCATAATGTTGAGCCTAAGTGTATTTTTCCCCATGAGATATAAAGGTAAATAGCTACTAGTAGTATTCTGGTACAAGACAATTAATTTGGTATTTAGTCAAATAGAAACCATCATCTCCATCTTTCTCAAAAGTACCTACCACTTGCAAGCTTAACATGTACTGCACTGAGCTGGAGGCAAACTCTTCCTTTTCATGAGAAGTATATTTCATAAAAGGAAGGAAGGAAGGGACCTCTAGTGGGTCATCTTGACCCTAACATCCTAATAGTTCCTAACTTTATTCCATGCTAATACTAGAAATCTCTTATGTAGTTTCACTTACACAATGAATGAGCAAATAAAGTCATTCCAGAGACTGAGAATACAATTCAGTTTCCATCCCCTTTCTTACTCAGTGTACTTTGTGGGACTGGGAGGAGGGGGCATTTTAATCACATTGTTGCTATCTATGTTATGGAATGCCTCTCTGAAGGACTCCTACAAGAATCTTCTTCATGTCTTAGAAGTAGAGGATTTATTTGAAGGACTTTATGGGGTGGGGTGGGGAGGGGAGGAATTTACATCTACCATATCTTTTTCAAGTCAGGAGACTTATTTCTCACTGCACAAAAAAAGGCAAAATATAATCTTCAAGTCTGAGTAATAAAAGTCACGTGAAATGTAACACTATATAATGTTATACAATTATCTGGAATAGCAGAATGCTGTTTGGGGTTAGATTTGCATGCTAAATGTCAGACAGGCGTTTACACTGAAACCCACCCTCTCCTGGCACAGTACCCATTCACATGTCAATCTATGGATTATTTTGAAAATGTATATTCAAGTAAGATGTAGGTCCTGTAATACTGTTTGACTGTATTGTTTGCATTGGAATCAAAGCTCTAGGTTAAGGCTATGTAAAATAGAATTACTTTTCAATCAAAAGTCCTGTAATGACAGCCTTTTAAGATTCCAGATTTTGTAACAGTGGGCAAATTGACTAAATATACATTACAGGATTAAGGCAGCTTTCAGTTCTCTGTGATAAAAAACACATTATTCCCAGTAGTTTATAAGAAGCAAAAGGAAAGCTTTGCTCATCACATAAAACATACTATTTTAAACACAGTAAAGCACTAAGACTTTGTATACTTTTTATAAACTAGGAGGAGGAGGGGGGAGGATAACTACATTTCCCATGAAAATATCCTGGGAAAATACAGTACTGAAATTAGGAATGTGATGTGAGTCACAATGGATAGACTGGCAACCATGACAAAAGTATGCCACTCTCAGAAGAGCAAGGTGCTGGTTTTATACCATATGTATGAGTCAGCCTGATCTAATCAAGCTAAAGATGACTGTTGACTACTGCTATGGAGCAAAAGTTTACAGCCTGGAGTATCAGAGTGAGTGTGGCTAGGGTACCAAAAAAGGCCGTAAGAGTGACTAGAGTAGCATTCAGAAAGGTATTGCTGAATGTCTGATTATTGGTTCATTTTTTGTCTTGTGGAAACAGATTCTGAACTAGTGTTCATGAAAATGGTTCCACTGAAGGAAATGAGGCCATACTCATATACACCAGTTCAGTATCATGCTCTTATATTTTTGCTTCGAAGGAAGTAGCATACAAAACTCCACAAATTCCAGGAAGGCAGATTTAAACTAGACATAAGAAAAAAGTTCTTTATGGTACAAGTGTCCAGGGTTCGGAACAGACTCCCCCCAGAGGTGGTGCAAGCAGGGGGGGAGCTGGAGGGGGGTGGCGCTGGACTCAATGATCTCATGAGGTCCCTTCAGCTCCTAATGTCTATGAAATCTATGAAAAATGCTGGCACCAAAATCTGAGGTCCTCTGAAACATCTTGTTACAGAATTCTTGAAACTCAGAAAATGCTTAGCAAAATATTGTTTCATGAACCTTTAGAGTGAATCTGGATACAGTTTTGAGCAAATGTTTCCCATATATCACTTTACATCAGAATCATGATAAATTCTCCTCTGATAAAGCTGTGTTGTGTGGAGCCAAAGTACATGCAACTCTATGACTGATTACATAATCATGTTCCTGCATTTGGCGCACAGTTCAGAAGGGGCTGAATGCTCTTGGTCATTTCATATATAGTATAATACCCTGCCACATTTTGAAACTCCATTCTTTGCCATGGTAATTGATGGAGTGGGACTATTCATGCAAAAAGTTGTGTGTCTTCACCCACCTTGTCTATATTCAGAAACAACTGTGCATCATCAGCTACTGATCAAATTACTACAAAACAGGCAAGACACAGAAATCATTTTCTTTGGCTATGCATCCTCTCTCATGGAATCAGGATACTACATGTGACTAGATTTGTGCTAGCCAATCTCAGTACATCAAGGCAAGGCAAGCTGGAAGGATTACTGGTTAATAGCATTCATGGGAACATAACTTTAATCCCAGCTTGTGCACTTTCTGTGGTTCACAGTGCAGCTGTGCATCCTTCCCACACCAAAGAGAAAGGAGTGTGTTTTCTCACGGTTATTTATTGTCCAGACACCTCTTGGATCATCCATTTCTGAAAGGTTTCTGATTACTCTACTTTGTTAGCTAGTATAAACTGTTTGTAAGGCTTTTAGTTAAGTCATTTTATAATTCTTCAAACAGGCTAACGAACCAGAATGAACAATACAGCATCTTTGGAAATATAAGGAATAGCAATATATGGAAGAAAAAAAAAGATTGAAGGACCACGGGGAAGAACTAGTGCAATGCACAGACTGGATCCAGGCAGTACAGAACAGAATTTTATGTTAAAACTTTAAAATTGGGGATTTAACAATTAGGTGCAAAAAAGCATCATTACACAAGTGGCTGAGAACCAGTCAGTGTTAGTTGCTAAATGCTCACAATTTCTGCATGCCAGGCTACTTGTTTAGTTATCTGAATGTAGATTTTGGCACCTAACTTTTAGGCATCCAGATTTGATCACTTTGGTCAAAGAAATCTTTCTTCCATTAAGTAGCAGCAATCACACTTAGTGAGCCACAGGGGTAAGTTGAATTTTTATACAGAAAGCACTTCGACAAAGCAAAAAATTGATACTGAAATGATATTGCATAAACAGAGTTCCAGACTACACTACAAATATTTATTTTTTCCTATCAGGTCTGTTCCTTTCCTAATTTTGGGAACCGCCTTCTTTGCTTTAGTGCCTACAGTGCCTTGTACCATTAAGAAACATTGTCCTAGAACAGAGCACTAATCCATCTACAGGTCCAGATGTGTGTAATGGGTCAGCAGAGAATTATTACTAGCTTAGGTTCTTCCCCTTTCTGCAGGGAGTTTGCTCCTACCTTCTGACTTAGCCAGATACATTAAAAGCTTGAAAGCTGGTACAGCATTCTCTGTAGCTACAACTGCCAAAGAAAAGGTAAGCTCTGTCAAGGAGTAGGCAATAATGAAATTATAAGTGTTTTTTTCCCCTCCTTCCTTTTTATTTTAGTAAGAGAGCTGTATCAGAGCATCAACTACTGCATGACAAAGGGAGATCTATCCAAGATTTACGAAGAAGGATGTTCCTCCAAAATTTAATCGAGGGAGTGAACACAGCAGAGATCCGGGCTACTTCTGAGGTTTCTCCTAACCCTAAGCCTGCTACCAACACAAAGAACTACCCAGTTCGATTTGGCAGTGAAGATGAAGGCAAATACCTAACTCAGGAGACAAACAAAGCTCAAACATACAAGGAGCAGCCCCTGAAAGCACCTGGTAAGAGGAAGAAAGCAAAGCCTGGAAAACGCAAGGAACAAGAAAAGAAAAAGAGGCGTACTCGATCAACATGGCCAAATTCTGGAGTACCTGGTAGTGCAGACAAAGGGCTCCCCCTCTTGGAAATCTCTGATACTACACGTGATCACAATTTAAGGTAATTCCACTTAATACTTTAGCAGGAACATACTATATAATATATTTATTGTCATATTTTACCTATACCTCAAACAAATCTGGAGCTCTCCTTGTTTTCTGAGAATAACTTGTAACACCTTACAATGATTCCCTGAAAAATCACTGAATGACTCCAAAATGCTTTTCAAAGAAAAACATCATTTCAGTGGTACTGGCTCAGAGACTGAGGCACAAAAGTGCAGCAACTCCCCCACTGTTATACATCAACTCATTTCTGGGCAGGGATTAGATAAATTTGTTATCACAAAGAAGAGAGTTTCATGAAACAGAGGTTATAGTGAGAGTTATTTCAGAAAAAGGAATACACCTCCTATCAATTGAAACTTCCTGGGCTGATTTTACTTTGAGTTTCTTCAGTTCTGATTTTGGTGCCATACTTCTAGCTTAGCAGAATGAGAGCTTTGAGCTTTAGTTAAAACCCTGCTTCAAGAAAACAGAATAGGTTTTCTTCCCTCCCCCACCCTCTTTTTTGGCAACTTTCCTATCCTTACTTTACAGTTTTTCTTTTTTACTGTTTCACCTTAGGGGAGAACATGGAAAGTTTTTCTCTCTTAAGTAATATCTGCGAACAACACAAACCAGCCTTTTGCCATAAAATATCCCCTGCCATTAGGACTTTTTTTTTTTTTTAATTCTGCTCCATCTTTCTGCCAGCTTGTGAAACAATTACGTTGCTGCTGAAAAATGTTGAGCATTATGCTTGGAGACTTGTTTTCCGCATGTATGACAATGAAGGTTTTAAGGGCTATGGTAATTCAGAGTCTCTCTTTTAGATGTCCTGAGCTGATAGCCTGCTTCCACCTATCGGTTCAAGTTGGAGATTGAACCATTTTGTGTACAAAGCATTAAATTCCAAAAGGAATTTTAGTTTTTAAAATAAGGTAGAAAACCCCCTCAAAACTACTCTCTGTCTGCTTCTCCCCTTTCACTTTGACTGAACACAAAACAGAGTCTCCTCACTTTACAGAAAATCTTTTGAAAAAAGGATGCCAGCTATGGGATTTACTAAAATGCAGCACTCTATTTAAATGTTACAGGCCCAGTCCTGCAATACACCCATGCCCTCAATTTCCACTGGAGTCCATGGAAGCTGAAGTCCAGCAGCAAGCCTCACTTAGAGCCTGCATAAAGAATTTAGGATTGGGATTTAGTTAGTGCCCTAGAGTTAAGAAAGTCAACGTGTGCTTAATAAAGCTCTCAATAAGCAGCACTTTAACTGGTACTGCTTTTTATTCAGTAACTTAAGAAAGGCAAGTCCCAGGATTTCTCTTCACAGGTGTTTGATGTATCTAGGAGTTGGAACAAATTTTATGAAGCTAGTGTGGGCACTGAGGGGTTCCTGTCTTCAAATGGACACATATGCAGACTTATAAGTGATGGGGAAACACTTCCAAGGCATTTTTAAAAAAATTTTTGTAATTTGCCTTATTAGGTTATCATTTGCCTTTCTACCCTATGGGAACTGTAAAATGAACCAAAAGCTCTGCCTAGGTTAAGGTTCCAAAATTTCTAATGGGCCCTTGTATGCCTCAAGGAAACCTAACTTTACAGAACATTATAGATTTGGCTTTAGCTTCTCAGCATTATTGCCCATATTGCAATATTAGCCTGTAGAGTACTAGAGTTTAGAAAGGACTGCATGCTTGGAAGGCTTAATCGTAAAGTCCTGCATAGTTTATTGTTTGTTTTGTTTTTGTAAAGACATCCATAAAACAAGAGTTACCTGTTGTAACTGTTGTACCTGTTGTAATACCACCTGTGCAGAGCATAGAGCATAACAGACAGGTTCAGCTTCTAGCAATCAAATAGCAAGCATGCTTTTGGCCCGGTCTTATCCAAGTGAGCTGGCACAAAGTATCCTTTCTATACCTTAAATTAAAACAACTGTCAGCCTGAAACATTTAATTTAATCAGGAAATGACATATGACATCATCTTTTTTAACTTAATAACCCAAGTCATTTATTAGGTACACATGCTAGTGCTATGTGTGAATTGACAGCTCAAACCCACCCCTCCCCCACCAATACATTTTAGGAAGGAGGGCAAGATTATCTGGTGCATAGGCACAACTTTGCATTGGATGTTAGGCTTAGGACAGCTCAGTTTATGGTGTCTGGTTCTGATATATATCCCCATGGAAACATGGTCCTCTAATGCACCCAGCTAACCTGCAGGCTCTGATAACAAGCGTGACTGAGGAAAGAGGGGAATGGCCAGAATATCCCAATACCAAACTGATTATACTACATTTTTTCACCCCTTTTAACCTATCGTAACTCTGAGTAAACTGTGACACAGAGTAGGGAGACTGGCCATACAAAGTGCAGTACAGCAAAAACCAGGGAAGTACAAAGGTGAATTCAGAGGCCCCTTTTCACATCACCTCTTGACTTTTACTTTGTCTAGTTTACCTTGACCTGAAGATCTCAGTCTGATGCCCCTGCTCCAATTCTGAACCCACAATTTGAGATCCACATCAGAAACCCAACTGCAACAGACTTGCTTCCTAATTCCATTGGATCAATTTGGGGGAAGTGTGTGTAGGGGGAGGGAGGGAGGGCAGACAGGTGATTTTGCAATAATTCCAACAAACTGGGATAGGAACAAACTGCAGATTTTAGTAGTATGGAACCAATGGCTGAGCTTCAACTTATCGCAAACTGTAAGACAAAGCCTAAAAACCTAATCCACAACTATCAGAACACCACATGCTTACATGTACATGTACATACTGAAGGTTATATACATATAATGTATATATGTGTATAATTTTATACATATATAATGTACATAATCTTCAGTATGTAGCAATTATAAATATGAAAGAGATATACAATTAATACTATGCACTATAATTATACCAAAATGTATTCATGCTAACATTTCTATTCCAGTCACTTAAAAAAAAAGAAAAAGAAAAAAAGAAAAAAAAACACCCTTTTCTTACAGGAGTCCTAGTTATGTTCCCAGTCCAATTAGTTTAAATGATTACTAACCATTTGCCTAAGAAAACTTTCAAAAGTGTAACCTCCCTCATGTTAAGTGTAATCTAATTTTCATTACCCAGATTAAAAACCCTTAAATTGTCAAGAATTTGTCTTTTTGTGTGCTTCTCACCCACACACGTCTGCCATGTGAAACTCTACCCACAGCTTTGGCAATCGCTCTGACAATATGGCCAATCAAATCCCATCTTATAGCCGTTTCCTAGGGAACTAACATACAATTGCTAAAATGTACTGCTCAGAGTGATAGAGGGGAAAAATCCCTTCAGCATTTCCAGTATTAGAAAATATTTTAAAATATAGGGCATCATAAGTCATATACAGCAGGGATAGCTGGGATTCTGTTTTGAACCTTATAAATTCATGGTGGAAGGGAAGATTACAGAACTTAAACCAGCCTGTCAGTGGCACCTAATAAGTCAGGGTGTGCAAAATGAGCCATATTTGATTTGGATTCCGCCCAAATTAGGGACAGTGATTTGATTAATTGATTTGGATCACTGTCCTGATTCAATTTGGCCAAATCCGAATCTGAAGATTCGATGCCGATTCGGAGAATCAGCAATTCGGCTATAGACACAGCTTTAAATGTTTTTTCTACATACCTCAAGGTACAAGGCACAGCTCATGAACACTGTGATAGTGGGATGGATGGAGCATCCCATACAGGCGCCCGGGGGGGAGGAGGCCGTATGCTCAGTGGTGGACTCAGGAGTGGACCGGAAGTACTTCCGGTCCACTTCCGAGTCTGTCAGCGAGTGTGCGGGGGACTCCTCCTCCCACACCACACTGGCTCAGCAATCAGCTGCAGGGGGACCCCAGGTGCACCCCAGACCCAGGAGGCATCAGTCACCAAGCCGTGCGCTCCACAGCAGACTTGGAAGTGGACTGGAAGTGCTTCTGGTCCACTTTCAGGTCCGCTGCCGATCACTCTGGGGACCCCCCCCACACTCCTGTGGGACCCTCCATCTGCCCCAGCATCTCAGCATTCATGAGCTACCTGGTACCTTGAGGTATGTAGAAAAAACATTTAAAGCTATGTCTATGTCCAAATCATCAAATATCTCCGAATTGATTCAGAGGGTTCCGATTCAATTCAGAGAGATTACAGGGTCTCCTGATTTGATTCAGATTCAGAGATTTGGCTGCTGAATTGGGCCGATTATTTTCTCATTATTTCACTTTATTTTATGTGGTTTGGTATCTGTTTAGGAAACAGAGCTTTATGACCCCAACATACAAGATGATTAAGCACATACCTAACTAGGCTCACTAATTTGGGAAAGGCTGTTTCCAAGCTTCAAGGTAGACTTATGCTGAAGCATCTTCCAGAATCAAGACCTAAATGAGGCAGTCTCCCTCCGACCTCTGTGTGTACATACAGCTGCAGATGGTATAGACTCGGCTGCTGCATGAAAGCAGTCTGCAATTCCTCATGCTGCTAGTATTGTGTTGAAACCACCATACAGGAGTCTTAAAAAAATCCTAGTAGCCCAGCACTGTTAATCAGCTTTTCCTAGGGGGAATATTTAATAGTGAGGCACAGCCTATATTACTTGTCGCGCTGTTACTATTAATCTTATGTCCACTTATTTACAAGGAAAATTAATTTTTTCCACTTTTTTCTGCAGGAGGCGCTGAAATTTTCAGTCGAGACCTTTGGAAAACATATTGCAGTATTCTGTAATAGTGAACATATAAAAAGTGTTAAAATATTTATTGTTTGTAAATACTGTAAATGCTCCAAATAAGCCTTCTTCTGCCCTTCCCTTCCTTCCCATTGCTCTCTGAAACTGCACATTTGGTTATTGTGAATTTTTTTTTTTTTGTGCTAAGGTTAGACAATTATTATTGTTGCATTTATCATAATTTATTTTGTTGACCGGTGTATTTATTTTGTGAACATATCTTGGTGCTGCTGACCTTCTATATATTTTTTGTAACATAATGCACTTTAGATATACATATTGAGTACATTGTTAATGACAAACTGTTCCTCTTTTGTGGTTGTTTTTAAATGAATGCTTACATACAGTTTAAACTGGGGGGGTGGGGTTCCCTTTCTGTGCATGTAAAATAGCAGTATTTTAAAATTTGTAAAGAATGTCTAATAAAATATAATCTAATTAAATCATGGCTCAGAAGGATAAATGTACCCTTTGGGAATTCCAGGAGAAGGAACTTAATTTTTTATTTAAACAACATTTGAAAATAATCTTAAATTTAATATATTTACATTGGTCCAGGCTCCAACATTTTCACATTAGCTTTCAGTTAAAAACTGCATAGAAAATATTGGTAGTGTAACTCCTGTTATACTTGTGATGGTCCAGAAAGTATGCAAAAAGCAAGGATTTCTTAGAGAGGTATCTTTTTACTGGACCAGCTGTGTAGTTGGGATAGTTTTAGACAAGCTTTCAAATGCAATACACTCTTCTATCTTGCATTTGAAAGCTTGTCTAACTCTATCCCAACTACACAGTTGCTTCAATGAAAAGATATCATCCTAAGAAATCCTTGCCTCTCATAGAAAATATTATGATCCAGGGTTCCGTTTCAAGTCAGCTAAGATACTGAACAGTCTGGAGGGTGCTGCCTTATAGGTCTTAAATGTATTTAATAAGAGGTTCTTTGGTCTTCCAAACAAAAATCACTACCAAAATAAAACACTACGTTCCACATGGTTCTCTCTTGAAGAGGAGTTCCAAGAATGACGTGTGACAGACGTTAGTCTGTAAAACATTACAGATGCTAGGTCCCTGTGGTCATCATTGCATTTATTGGAAGTTGAGAATGCTTTTGTGAACAGGAGGACCTCTAGCCAGCACCTTATAGCATTGCACCAATTCAGATTGATTGATATAGGAGGAAAAAGAGAGAGAGAGAGAGAGAAAGAGATTTTCCTATAATGAGTAAGTGAATAAACGGAAAAAGCTAATGATTATTACTATATAGAATCTTGTGGCAGGCTTGTCAGCCCAAGAACCTTTAAAATATCCTGTCAAGCTCTGCCTATGTTTATGAGTGTGTAGAAGAACCAGGAATAGGAGGACAATAAGACAAAACACTCCACTCTTCTTTGAAAAGGAAAAAAGGTTATGATTTATTAGTGTAATTTGTCATGGGCTTGCTATTCTCACAAAGCTCACTTTTTCTAGGCAGTTCATAGTGGTTATTGTGTGTGTGTGTGTGTGTGTGTGTGTGTGTGTGTGTGTGCACGTGCATGCTTGATCACATGCATGTGTGATTGTAAGAAAATATGGGTTTCACAGGGAAAATAGGAGCTTGTCTTCTCATTGATACTCACTGTGCTTCTACCTTTGGAAAGTCAGTCATAGAAAGGACTAAGAAGATATTAGTTCTCTAGCAGAGGTACGACTCAGTGCTCAAATAGAGCTTTACTGCAAACTGCTGGGTTACTTTAAATTGTTTACTTAAGGAGGAGTTAAGGGTTTACCCAGCTTCAGATGCTTACTAGTGTTTCCCTAGCTTTCAGTGACCACCTATTAGTGACCACTGGAGATGAGGTTGGGAAACAGGATAACAATCACTTCTGGGGACAGTATGTCTCCATGTTTATTCTTTGACCAGCACCTCAGTTACTTTCTCCCCTTTCCAGACAATTAGAAATAAAATACCTCTTTCTACACTGAAAAGAAAAACAAACAAATGACCCCCCACACATACATTTCCCCTATTCATAGAAAAATATTGCACTAATTCAATATCATATATGTAGGGTAACGTGGGGAAGGAGGAAGGAGAAAATGGCCAATTCTCACAATTTAATGTTCATTGGCTGAGGAAGCTAACAATATAATAATTGCCATTTATTTTCAGTAACATCTAAAATTTTGGGGTTTTTTTGCTTAACCCACTTAATGATGCCTTGCTCACTTTGCAACACCACCATACATATTCTTCCTGTACACGATCAGGTTGACAAGTCATAAACAATGCTACTAGGACAACTTGAATCAGGACTCAAAGAAATACAGAAGTTAACCTTCCTGTGAGATTTAAGTGTGGACATCCTGCCTACTGATAAAGTATTATGAACACTTGGATCAATCCAGCTCAAATGAACTGAAATGCTGAATTGGGCAGAGGCTGTTTGTCTCCCAATGTTAACAGTATGTCACAACTGCAACTCCAAGTCAATCAGAAAAAAACTGATGAGGCGGGAAGAAGATTGCAAATGGACATGTGCAAAAACCTGGAGCTCCAAGCCTGCCTTCACAAACCTGGGCACTCCAGTTGCTTGCCTATCTGCAGTACCTTCAACCAGGTGTCTTTCACACTAGAGGCCATCAAAGGGCTGAATCTAACTTTCCTTTGAGCTCCCAACCTTTATTGGAGTAGATCCGCTGAGGAGCTCTATTCCTGAGAAGGTTGGAAGCACTAAAGAAAGTTTGCTTCATTAGCCCCAACTCTCCAAACAAATAAACCCCTAATTATTTAAAAGGTTTTGGATGCCCCAGAGACCCTTCACCCATCAGAATTTATCTGGATACTTTAAAAATTAAAAATAGACCTATGATGGTAGAAAAAGGAACAACCACGACAACCACGAATAAGTTCAGAGCAGGAAAGTTAAGTTTTCTCTAGAAGCTTCAACTTGAAAGATTTTACCTGCATGTAGTTATATCTTCACGTAGATCTGTGTTTTTATTTTTATACATATGTAGCCTGAGCTATGCCATTATTAAGGTTGCAAAGTCTATTTTGATAATGACAGAATGAGTGTTGCCTTTGTAGCCTTAATTTGACCTCTTGTCACCTATGCATCATGACTCAGTCTTTAAATGACATGATCACAGACTTCCCCCAGCCATTTTTCCCCCTCAAGCTTGTGCCCTTCCTCATTCCCTCCAACTAGCCCTCTTCTGTTTTCCACCTCTGGTTCCTCACCCCAGTTCTAGTTCCCTTGCCCAACCAATCCCACATTGCCCATCCTGGCTCTTCATCCAACAGCAGTCGCCCCACTCTCTTCCTGGCTCCTTGTCCCAGTCGCATCCCCTCTTGTCTGCCCCAGTTTTTTTGGTCAGCCAGTCTTAGTTCTCTCTCCATTTCCAACTCCTTGTCTGATCAGCCTCTCCTGTCCTTTTACAATACTGATTTTGCCTCCCTGGTGCTAGCTTCCCAGACTCCTTGTTGGGTGAGACCCAATTTTCTCTCCTCTTTCCAGATCCTAGTCACAGTTTCTCTCCATTACTGCCAGTTCCAGACATACCAAGCATGATGTCTCAGTCTCTTCTTTCCCCTCTGTCCCCAACTGGCTGCCAACTTCTCTCTAGGACAGCAAGCAAGAGGGATAGAGTCCAGTAATAACCCTTTCAGGCTAAGACGTTGACTGCACAGTAGCTCGTTACTACTCCGCAGTAGTGTTGCATGGCATGAAGTGTGGTGCGATGCTACTGCACAGTAGTAACAAGCTACTGTGCATTCCATGTCACCAGAAAGCCATTTGGGGATGCTACTGTGCAGTAACTCCGGTCAGTCTCATATAGTCGCAGCCTCAGACTTTGATTAACTGTCCTTCAGAAATAAATACGTATTTTGAATCCTGAACACACAAACCCAGTGAAATCCAAATCAAACAATGTAATATTTGACTCTACATGCTCTCAGATAAAGGATTAGCCTTGCTGGCAGAACAATTCAGTTTAATTTTAATTATCCAACACTTCAAAATGTAGGCACTAACACCAACACAAGGTATCCACAGCATAGACAGCAAGTATGTTCAGGTACAACTATACAAATAAATGACTGTGATTTAAGCTTGCATGTCAGTGAAAGTTACCTTGCACTTACTACAAGGTGAGGGAGAGCGCACTATGGCTGTGCGAAATGCCTGTGTTTCGTTTTGGTTTCGGATTTGAACGCAGTATTTTGATGGGACAGGGATTCGTTTCGGCATTTCGAATCGCTGCTTTATTTCATTTTGGCCAAAACTGTTTTGAGTTTTGCCACTGTTTTGGTGTTTCAGCCATAGGCTAAAATGGGGAATGACTAAAATGCTTATAATTTTGTCATTTCTTGTCTGATTCTGATGAAAATTTCAGGAATGAAACCTGCCAAGTTTCAAGGAGATAGGTGCAGGAGTTTCTGGGAAACTGTACCTCAAGGTGCTGACAAGCAAAACCCGTGTCACATGTGTGTTAAGGCAGAGTGGGATGAAAACCACAGGGATGGTAGGCACTGTTGAGGCCATAAAGTCTGACAGGGTTCAAGGAGATAGGTGCAGGGGTTTCTGGGAAACTGCACTTTGTCATGGAGTAGGGTCCCTAGAGATGGCCATGATACCCCTAGGGCCCTGTAACCATGTCAGCTCTGCTCTGTGGGCTCCTTCTCTTCTTGCCTGCCACCACATACTTTTGGAAAAGATAACAGATAAGGAGGCTGCCCTCAAACTTCAGCTCTGTCATGGTCCTAATGGACTAACTGTAGGTTCTTGGACCCCTTGCTGGGACCCGCTCTAAGTAGGTGCCTCAAGGGGACACCCTAAGCCTTATGGGCTAGATGCATGGCTCCAACCACCCCTTACCATGTGCCATGCCTCGCAGATAGTATATTGATATTGTCCCTATAATGAGGTCTCAGTTTACCTTCTCACTCTACCTTCTATTGTCACTGGGCTCTCTATGCCCCGTTGCTGCACCCTCACTGGTGCTGGGGCCTCTACATGACACGGTAGTATGCCCCAATGAGGCCTCCTCCTCCCCTACAGCCTTAGTCTGGTCCACCACTTTAAATAACAACAGGTAAACAGCTCAGTAGCACTAGCATCTCAAGCATCCAAACTGTCACACAGCCTTTCTTTTCTTTCCTGCAGGAACATTTTCTCTAGCAGCTGCCAGAGAACTCCCTCTGCCAGCCCCAGCCCTGGAGCTTAGATGCACCCAGGGCCCTGCCTCCTTCCGGTCAGCTGACTGGGGACAGGTGCTAGGGGTGTAGGTTGTAGCCGTGTTGGTCTAAGGACATGGCAGACAAAGTTCTTTGGGTGAATCTGGTATCTTTTAGTAGACCAACTGAAAAGTTGGAGAAAAATATCTTAGCAAGCTTTTGGGTTGAAAACCCTTCGTCAGGCTGAGGAAGCACCTGCAGTTGC